TATCATATATCATATATTGGGTTGACCGCAAAGAATAAAACTGAATGACTTTGAATAATCCTTTATATTTATCTTTATTTAGCTAAAAAAAAAATTAATTCTCTCCATTTTCCGTAGCTCCCTTACCTTTAGGGGNCCAATACCCCCCCTGGCTAATTTTATACTGTTTTAATAAAACGGTGGAAAAAGAAATACAAAACTGACGTTTTTCGTTTGTATAGCTAGAAACTAAAATAAAAAATTACTGTCCTTTCTTCGACCAAAATAAACCTTTTTAACGAAAAAGAAAAAACTAAATTCCCGGGATAAAGTGAAAAAAATACGTTATAAAATTAAAAATGTTTTTAATAAACCAGAATTATGTTTTTTCTCTTAAACAATTATCATCATAAATTATTAAAACAAAACTTGATGTTTATGAGATAATGAGCACAATAACTGACTCTCCAGTGGGAGGCTGCGTGTAAAACAGCCCCTGGCTATCAATGCCTCCCCGTCTCAAGTTTATAAATATGTTTTAAAATATGATATTTTCTATGTTTTTGGCTTGGGACAAATATATATATTTGATTTGATTTGATATTTGATTAGTTTGTGCAGGCAGAGATCTTTAGAAGAGGAATAGACGTGCGAAATTTATTATTAATTATCTCTATGTGCAGGGGCGTATTCAGGAATTTGTCCTGGCCGGGCTAATTTTTTCTTTCTTTCCAGTGGGGCCTCAGCACTGGTTGGGACCTAAAAACCCCCTGAAAGCCATAAATTTCACCGGTGGGGGGGGGGGGCTAGTTAGGCCAAATAGCTCCCCCATGAATACGCCTCTGTCCAAATAGATTATCAAGCACAATAGGTAGCATCAGAGAAATGGACCAATTATACACGACGTCACAAGTGTCAAATATAACAAGACTAAATAATATAGTGTAAAAAAAGAAAATAAAGGACACATGAAATTGCACTTATTTTACTGTAAGATAAGCACTTTATTTTAAAATTATCTCTATTATTAATAATTTTGTCGTACACACAAACTAAGTTGACACTTGTGACGTAAGAATACAGCTGTACTGAGAGTGTACAAATTCTACGTTGCCATCTATTGTACTTATAGAATCTATTTGCCTCTGTTTAAGTTATATTTTGAATTTTCCGTTGGATGGGAAAATGAGGGAACTGCACGGAACCTTGATTTTTCTATTTCTCCATTTTCCAACATTTGTTGATTCCAATAGCACAAGAAGGAGATGCACATGTCCTAACATATTCCTTATTTGAATCCGTTAGTTATCTTTGCGCTTCTTTTCGTTTCCATTTCTGATATGTGTTTTTATAATTACCAGACATATCAATGTCGATTTCGTCAAGAATTAGAAAATTTTTTATTTGATAAATCGGAATCTACTAAATTCTTAATGAATGCACAAATATGGCAGACCACATTTTTGAAATGGCAGGACTAGGGCTATTTTGGGATTATTTTTTCTTGAAAAGTAATTCTAAAATTAGGTTTCCAAATGAATTATCTAGTTTTTCAGTCAATGTGGATACTTTAAAAATGATTTTGACATTTGTGCACGCGCACATAAATATGTCTTCAAGAATTTTTTCTTCTTCAATATCTCTAAATAAGTTTTTTCTTCTGAAGTATAGCGTTTATTAGGAAAATACACAAAATATGCAATACAATACAACAAAAACAAAGACACTATATTAATATGAAACAAATATTTTTACAAAAAATATTTTATACGATAGGATATTAATAAAACAGTATTAGGTATTTGTATAAAGAAGCCTGCAAGGATTTACATTTGTATGTGATAAATTTTGTTAAACATAGAAAATTGGCCTTGAAAGGGGCAAAGTAAATTGATATGCATGCATTACAAGTAAAAGCAAAGAATATACACAGAGAATAATCAGGTCAGGTCGTCTTCAATTCACGATTTATAAAAACATACGGGGCATGTACTTAGGTATTATTATTATCGTATTTCAGGCCGAATAGGAACAATCTGCATTGATTGAATGATATCATAATCTTGCGACATGATTTTTTATCAAGTAGAAGATGAAGCTAAAAAAAGTTAGACAAACATTGACGCCAAGAGGAAAAGCCTGGACAATATTGTATCATAACGCACATTCAAGCAATTACATTTTTAGACGAGCATCGTACAAGAACTTATATAGGTTCAGCACAAGAGAGAATATTATTAGTTACAAAATGTACAAAGTTACAAAACAAAAATGTATCTTAAACTGGACTTGTCTGTCTCGGGTTAAACTAATAATGCACCATCCTAAAGACTACTATAAAAGTTTCCCACCCAGAAATTTAATTTTCCCCTTATTAAAGGGACTGTAATCGTAATTTCAAGTGATTTCAAGCGGGAAATTAAGTGCCAAGAAACAGCTCGAGTATAAGTAGTGTAAATATACTAGCACGGATCGTGTACATTGTACAGTGTACACTGTAACCTAGAGTCTCCCTGAGCCCGAAATTTAAAAGAGTATCGTTGAACAAAACTCTCAAGTTTCCTTTTTGGGGTATTACCATTTTGTAGATTTTGATTTAAGAGATTTGACAAAAATGGAGAATATGGAGAATCTAAATAAATAATATTTCATAGCAAAAATATTGATAACCACAAAACTGCCTAACCCCATTCGTAAAACCCGGGTTTTAAAACTGGTTTTAATAACGATACCCTGTCTTCAGTTTTGGGCTCTGAGCCCAAAACTTAAGAAAGGGTATTGTTATGAAAACCAGTTTTGAAACCCGGGTTTCATTAATGGGGTTAGGCAGTTTTGTGGATATCAATATTTTGTTATGAAATATTATTTCATTTAATTTCTTCACTCAATCTTCAGCTGTACACATAAGGATATCTACCTCATCGTTGTCCGGCAAAAGGTTTAAAGGGTACCGTTGTGAATCGAACATGATCTCTCTATACATGGAAGGTCACTTGAAATTACGCTTACAAAACAATTTTGTTTCCATTGTAAACCCACATATTTGAAAAATTTCTATGCGGGGGGGGGGGGTATACCCCCCCCACTCCATCCCCGTGGGGGAAGTTAAGAAGGGATTATCCTCCAGATTGGGACCAGTTTCCAACTTACAGAAACTTTTTTTTTAATATTTCTACATTTTCTTCAGAATGTACTTGATCGAGGTGTAAAATAGTCAGAGCGGATTGTTTATCCTCTTATTGTGGATTATTTCTTATAAGGACCACTTCTGAAATCTTCAGAACCGATTCAAAATATTTTATTGTGAAAAAGAAGATTATATTTCTGATAATGTACAGAAAATATTTTTCCTCATCGTCATACTTTGAAAATCGTCAATTTCTTCACTAAAAAAAATCTTTTTTGAAGTATGATTGTGATTCTGCTTGTTTCGCCGTTTTTTATATGGAGTTATTTGGCAAAACTTAAAAAAAAGCCAATATATTACAATATAATTTACTTGCCTAGTAATAGTTTTGTCCAATAATGATTATTTTTATCCAGAATTAATTTGGTTTTTTTCCGTAAAAATTCTATAAATACAATTCTCGCTTAAAAGCTGATCAAGAGAAATAGATCGAGCAGACTTTAAAAATATAAAGAAGCTGAGTTTTTGCTAAAAATTCAAATCTTTTAAAACATTTATCTTTGCAATTTTATGTCGTAGACCTTAGATATTTCAAACTATGAATTCTGATAGATTAAATTATACAATTTTTTAAATATTGAAGGTGTAGACCATAAGGTTCCAAAGACAAAGGTATTAGAAAATTTGAGTTTGTGCCAAAAACTCAATTCCTTTGATCATAATCTTCTGAAAATCATTAGGTTTATATTTAAACATATAGATACAGAGCTGTCAGACTTTAACATCCCTTGTTTTAATTGAGAGTAGAGACCACACAGGTAAAAAATTAAGTCAATTAATTATTAAATTTTGAATTGGATAAAACTTTAATTGTAGAAATAATTTAAGATCCCCGGGACATCCATTCTTTTGTGTTTTTTTTGTTATCCCAGAATATACACCCTCTATTCTCCAATATTTATTTCTTCCACCTTGAATTCTTCGGTATTCCCTCCACCCTGTATTCTCCAGTATTCCCTCCACCCTGTATTCTCCATTATTCCCTCCACCCTGTATTCTACAGTATTTCATCCACCCTGTATTCCTCAGCATTCCCTCCACCCTGTATTCTTCAGTATTCACTCCATCCTGTATTCTCCAGTATTCCCTCCACCCTGTATTTTCCAGTATTCCGTCCACCCTGTATTCTTCAGTATTCACTCCATCCTGTATTCTTCAGTATTCCCTCCACCCTGTATTCTCCAGTATTCCCTCTACCCTGTATTCCTCAGTATTCCCTCCACCCTGTATTCCTCAGTATTCCCTCCACCCTGTATTCTCCAGTATTCCCTCCACCCTGTATTCTTCAGTATTCCCTCCACCCTGTATTCTCCAGTATTCTCTCCACCCTGTAGTCCTCAGTATTCCTTCCACCCATGTATTCTCCTGTATTCCCTCCACCCTATATTCTCCAGTATTCCCTTTACCCTATATTCTCCAGTATTCCCTCCACCCTATATTCTGCAGTATTCCCTCCACCCTGTATTCTCCTGTATTCCCTCCACCCTGTATTCTCCATTATTCCCTCCACACTGTATTCTACAGTATTCCCTCCACCCTGTATTCTCCTGTATTCCCTCCACCATGTATTCTCCTGTATTCCCTCAACCCATGTATTCTCCTGTATTCACTCCACCCTATATTCTCCAGTATTCCCTTAACCCTATATTCTCCAGTATTCCCTCCACCCTATATTCTGCAGTATTCCCTCCACCCTGTATTCTCCTGTATTCCCTCCACCCTGTATTCTACAGTATTCCCTCTATCCTGTATACTCCACTATTCCCTCCACCCTGTATTCTGCAGTATTCCCTCCACCCTGTATTCTCCTGTATTCCCTCCACCCTTTCTACAGTATTCCCTCTATCCTGTATACTCCACTATTCCCTCCACCCTGTATTCTCCTGTATTCCCTCCACCCTGTATTCTACAGTATTCCCTCACCCTGTATTCCTCAGTATTCCCTCCACCCTGTATTCTCCAGTATTCCCTCCACCCTGTATTCTTCAGTATTCCCTCAACACTATATTCCTCAGTATTCCCTCAATGTCTACCCTGTCTCTCCAATGTTGAAGGATCGTTTGAAAAGTTGAAAGCACAAGTTTTCATTTCGATCCATATTTGCTTGATCCTCTGAACCTCCCTTGGCAGAATATGTGTTAAAGAAGAATAATCCTCGTCGTTTTTTCTTTTTCCCAACCTCAGGTCCCTGTACAGGAGCAGAGGAGGATAGAAGGACTTCTTCTTCCTTCTCCTCCTCATCCTCTGCGTTCTGTTCGTCTTCCTCTCCTTCACATTTTCTTGTTTTTCTTTTCTCCTCTGGTCCAATGTAGATACCAGAGAATGAATCGATGGAGAGTGGAGAGGGCGGCCTAAATAAAACTTGTTTTAATTGTTAGTGGAAAGGAATTGAGTTTTTACCTTAGATATTTCCATTTTTCAACTAGGAATTTTGTTAGTTCAAAAAATCTAAGTTTGAAGGATTTTTGCACCATCAGGTTGCAACATAAAGGGATTAAAAAGTTAGAGTTTATGGCAAAGACTCCATTCCTTAGAAAGACCAGTCATATAAAGATTGCCATTAACGATTTACAACGGTACCTTATAAGCCTTTAAATTTTCGATTTATTCAGCAAATAAGAACATGAAAATGGCAGAAATTAATCCCATTATCGGATTTTTACCATCGATTACTGGTTTACGAAGTACCGTTGTGAATTGTGCAGACCATACTACAACTAAGAAAAAAGGTGACAAACAAGAAAAAGGATAATACACTAATATCAAAGAGAATAGAATATATATTAGAGGGGAATTTACTAGAAAAAAATGTAAAACGACCATTTTGTTGTACTGTTTCCATACTGCAGGTGTACTTCACATATTTGTGCTATATAACCTTTTGGGCCCTGGAATATCATTTTATAGAAAATCTAAAATTAATATGAAAAGAAAACCAAATTATGAAATAGGCTTGTTTCATAATTGACCAATGATCATTTCACATAGACTCTATGCCTTTCACTTTACAAACGTTGATTTTCCGTTATAACTATAATTCATTTTATAAAGTTTATTTAACAGCTTTAAAAAATTCGCAATTGAAATGGATAGTCTAGGGAACAAACTGCATTAATGTACTCTACTGCAGATAATTTGTGAACATTTACATGATTTGTACACGTTGAACTCCCTTTCAGGCTGAAAGGGACTGGCAAAATTCATACCAAGGGATTTTTCTAAATTCCACTCTAATATATATTCTATTCTCGTTGACTAATACAAACTTTACAACTTTACTCCCAACCTAGAGATAGATAAATAGATAGATAAAAAATCATCTTGTATTTCTCTTCTCTCCTCATAATATCTTATTTGAACTTTATATTCATACAGCCAATGCAACTCTTGGCTTTTCACTGGTCAAACCAAATAGTAATTTATAGTAAATCAACAATTTTATCTTTTAATTGGTCAACAATTAATTTCCGCTCTACATTCATGGCTCCAACAAACAAAACAGCATTTGAAAATATAAACTGAGCCTTAGTTATACCAAGAGAGGTCTATAACGTATTCTTGATGTTGTTACAAAACAATAGAATATGTTATCATTTTTTTCAAATCAGAAAATATTGAGTAACCTGTAACTGTCTTTAATATCATCGTTCTCAGTGATATCTCCGTTCAGATACTCCAAGTCATATTCATCTAGGGTTCTAGAGGGTCCTAGATACACTCCAGATATACCGTCATAGTTCTCCATCTAGATATAGATATAATATACTCCAGTATAATCCAGATATACCATAGTTCTCCATCTAGATATAGACAGTATACTCCAGATACACCGTCATAGTTCTCCATCTAGATATAGATATAATATACTCCAGTATACTCCAGATATACCGTCATAGTTCTCCATCTAGATATAGATATAATATACTCCAGTATACTCCAGATATACCATAGTTCTCCATCTAGATATAGATATAATATACTCCAGATACACCGTCATAGTTCTCCATCTAGATATAAATATAATATACTCCAGAATACTCCAGATATACCATAGTTCTCCATCTAGATTATAGATATAATATAAATTAAAATATACTCCAGTATACTCTAGATACACGAGTCACGGAAGTTTGTAGTAAAATTTTGACTCCACTGGCGACCTGAGGGAATTCATTTTCACTGGAGGGGTTTAGAAAAGTACTTTTTACAATTTCAAACTTTACGCAGGGTTATTTACATTCCACTGGAGGAATTCAGATATCTTTCCAATGGGGGTTTATAATTCCACTAGAGGGATTCAAATATCTTTCCAGGGGGTTTATAATTCCAGTGGAGGGATTCAGATATCCTTCCTATGGGTTTATAATTCCATTGGAGGGATTCAGATATCTTTCCTGGAGTTTATGATTCCACTGGAAGTTTTTAGCTAAATAGGTTGGCAGAGGGACGCTATTTAACCCCCAGAAGTGTCCTGCCCTTTCACAAGTTGTGGGAGCACTGAGTTTTAATTTACATTACTCCCAGAGTGTACTGTACGCAATTTGAGTACATTTGAGTCCCCTTGGGGTTCCAACTGAATACCCTTGCCCCTGAATATAATTAAGTTTTCTCTACATTAAGTATTAATATTGCATCCTAACTCTATCCCTGGATTATATGTGTACTGTTTAGTACAATTGAACATACACCAAGGAGTATAGAATAGAAGGGAGATACAACTGACGTGGCCCGCCTACTTTATGATTATGCATGCTTTGCAGACGGGTACTCCATTTGAATAAGAAATATTCAGAATAGGTTATAGTATACGCGGTAATTGTACATCAGACAAATATTCAAACGAAGTACCGTCCGCAAAGCATGAATAATCATATAGTAGGGCGGGCCGCGTCAGTTGTAACTCCCTTCTATTCCATACTCCTTGGCATACACTTAATTAATCGTACAGAATGAAAACAACAAATAGGATGTCGTCTTTTCAAGATTTAAGGGTTTTTCGTTTACAATAACCCTAAGGCAGAGCCCCATAAGAGTTAGGCGCAGTCGGCGTCGAACAGGCTCTCTCTCGTAGAGTTACAAGACAGAGAGAGGTCCTGTTCTACGCCGAATGCGCGTAACTCCTTTGAAAAATGAAAAAATATGATAAAAGGAAATTAAAAAAGAAAAGTTTGTCTAATTATTACCTTTATATCAATGGGAAGAGTAACTGATTCCACCAACGTGTTTTTTGTCAAGGAGGCATCTTCTCCTATTTTCTCTTCTAAAACAAAATCTGTATAAAAACCAGACCGTTTAAATATATCTATATACATAAAATTGTAATCTCTGTTTGTCTGTCCGATCATAACTCATGAACCCTTGGACCGAGTTGCCTCAAATTTTGATTGGGCAACTCGGGAGTACTACTTGGTGTTTAGATTCTAAGTTGAGTTGCTAGACTTATATTTGAGAAAATAGCTAAAATCCTAATTCACGACAAAGCGCAGATAAACGGTGGAACTATGTGTGTATGTTCGTTCTTTTCGTACTTTTTCTTTTATTAGTTCGTTATTGGTCAGTTGAAATAACGTAATGAATTGGCCCATCAAATTTTCTACTCAAATAATCATTTTGAACATACGGCCTCATTCATTTCCGGTTGCTAACGGTCAAACTATCCATCTAACAATTTTTTAAAAATTAAATAAAAAATATATATTTTATTTTAAGTTAGACAAGGCATAAAAATTTACAAAATTGTGAGTTTGCTATTTTCAATTAAAAAAAATCGCAAGACGACTGACGAACACGGGCAATACCAGGAACTTCTGTCAGCAATTTTTTTAATAAATCATATTGGAAATATTTATCTGTAGATGTAATGCTAGGTATTTATGTTACTCAACCTTTCATCTTACATATATATATCTACAAGTACAGCAGCCATCGTAAATCAAATTCCATTCCTCATACACCACCCTTCAGTTATACACTTCACACCACCCTTCAGTTATACACTTCACACCACCCTTCAGTTTTACACTTCACACCACCCTTCAGTTATACACTTCATACCACCCTTCAGTTATACACTTCACACCACCCTTCAGTTATGCACTTCACACCACCCTTCAGTTATACACTTCATACCACCCTTCAGTTATACACTTCATACCACCCTTCAGTTATACACTTCACACCACCCTTCAGTTATACACTTCATACTACCCTTCAGTTATACACTTCATACAACCCTTCAGTTATACACTTCACACCACCCTTCAGTTATACACTTCACACCACCATTCAGTTATACACTTTATACCACCCTTCAGTTATACACTTCACACCACCCTTCAGTTATACACTTCACACCACCCTTCAGTTATACACTCCATACCACCCTTCAGTTATACACTTCATACCACCCTTCAGTTATACGCTTCACACCACCCTTCATTTATACACTTCATACCACCCTTCAGTTATATACACTTCATACCACCCTTCAGTTATTACACTTCACACCACCCTTCAGTTATACACTTCATACCACCCTTCAGTTATACACTTCATACCACCCTTCAGTTATACACTTCATACTACCCTTCAGTTATACACTTCACACCACCCTTCAGTTATACACTTCACACCACCCTTCAGTTACACACTTCACACCACCCTTCAGTTATATCGCTCGCTTGTCTTTTGTGCTACACTCTTCAGTATAGCAGTTTTCTCAAACATTTTATTTTACTAATTCTACTTCAAGTTATGATAAATATTAAAACTATATGGTCTTGAAGTCTGGTGAAGCTATTTGAGAAGAAATATTTTAACTAATATAGATAAGTTGACGAAGTTAAAGTGACACTCACTGATACAGAGTAACTTTTATCAATTTGATAACAACCTTTATTTGAGAATAAGTAACAATATGCCTGATTATTCAAATTTTCTTATTTAAAATCGAGCTAATATATAAGACTGTCTTATGATACTTTAATTGCAAAAATAGAATAAAAAATGTCCAGTAATAGCCTCCCCAATTTTTTCAAATCACACTTTATCATCAGTTTTTTGGAAATTTAAAATTTGGAAACCATTAAAAAAAATGAAAATTGAATTAGTTAGAGCACAAAACCCGCCAAGCACATGAAAAAAGTTTAAAAGCAGTTTTTGAACTGTTGTTCGGCCTTGTACCGCTTATTCAATTATTATATTTTTGAAATGGGTTTCAAATCTTAATTTAGCATACATTTATTAGGTCTGAATACACAAACCGCTGGTGGGCGGTCAGTGGGCTCATGCAATACCAAAATTGATGATGCCATTAAATTAACACAGCTTATTACTTAAAAGAAAACAGAGGCGCAACTAGATGTTTTAAATGGGTTGGGGCAGGCTTACTTAAAAGATATTAATGGGCCAGGGGTTAGATTACCCCCCTACCCCTCCTTCATGAAGGGGGGGTGGAGGGTTAATGGGTCAGAACAGCAGGAATAATACTTATCAAAAACTTGTTACTTTATAAGTAAATTTTCCTTTCTGATTCTAATTAAAGTATACATATATTGGCTTCAGGTCCTAGTAAGAGTATTCACCTTTAGGAATATTAGTAGATATTATATTACTAATAATATATTTAGAATAACATGCATCTAATTTAAAAGTATATTGGAGGTATATCAATATATATACTTAGCTTGTCTGAGGGGCGTGCGTTTCTTTGTGTTTGTTTCCAATAAATGAAAAATCAGCTGAACCGATCGAGCCCAATATTTTTGAGGCAACTCACATGACCCCGGCCAAGAAAGGTTTATTACCGGTCAAAGTTTAAACTTTTGCCCCCGGAAAAAAACGTTAAAATTTATTGTTTTTAAAAATTTGCCAATTAAAAAAAAAGAAAATTGGGAAAGGTTGAGAACAATTTAAAATAGCACCTTTCAGAGCTTAAAGCAAAAATTGTCGATATAATAAAATTTGATAAAATAATGTATTTTATATAATGGTACGTGTTACCCGTGAAGGATTAGAGCAAAACGATTAGACGAAATTCTTGAAATTAATTATCTGAAAGTTGAATCCAATATTTTATTTAAAAAAATTAGGACAGGCTCACAATCTTATTTTTGAAGAATCTTGCGTCATAAAGAGACTTTTGAAGTAAATTCAAGTCTTTCAAGTGACCCGTCATCTTTTATTAAATGCCTGATTCACAACGGTACCTTTAAAACCTTTATTTTAGTAGCAATTAGGAAGACGTCATCTTTTTTTCCTCTTGAAACTGTCGTCGCTGCGACATCCGAAAGTCATTCTTTTTAATAAACTACAAATGAAAATGATTATTTTTAAAAATAAAACAAGGACATATCCACCATTTTAGTTCCAGGCAAAAATATTTAATTGATACCGTTGTGATTGAGGCAGGTAACTCTTAAAATGGAAAGACACTTGAGAATACATCAGCTGCAGTCTCTTTAATATAGTTCCAGACTCACCTGAATCATCAGCAGTCCCTTTAATATAGTTCCAGACTCACCTGATTCATCAGCAGTTCCTTTAATATAGTTCCAGACTCACCTGAATCATCAGCAGTTCCTTTAATATAGTTCCAGACTCATCTGAATCATCAGCAGTTCCTTTAATATAGTTCCAGACTCATCTGAATCATCAGCAGTTCCTTTAATATAGTTCCAGACTCACCTGATTCATCAGCAGTTCCTTTAATATAGTTCCAGACTCACCTGAATCATCAGCAGTCTCTTTAATATAGTTCCAGACTCACCTGAATCATCAGCAGTCTCTTTAATATAGCTCCAGACTCACCTGAATGATCCTTCATACTAAAGATGCACTCCCCCGGTAGTGCCCGAAAGGACCAGGATTTCTTTCGAACACATTTTTTGATGAAAAGTCCGACCCCGTTCTCCTCTGCCATGGTTCCTGAAACCTCATGTTCCAGGTCCTTGGTTCCTGAAAATCCTTGCAGCTTGAGACTAAAAGTTTCCTTAAGATCTCTGCTCTGGGTTGAGTTAAACACACGGTCCAGGATACCCGTCTGCTCGACCGAACTTTGACTCATTTTCCGCGAAATCTTTGAACTCGATTTTTTCCCAGCTTTTCCAGCCTCAACAAGTTCAATACTGCCTTTATTCTTACTCTCTTTAATGAACTCTAATTTTGTGTTGGATGGATCTTTTTTTGATTGATGAGTTAACGTTGTTAGTTTTTCTGAACCCGACTCTGACAGGTTGCTGTTCCGTTCAGTTTCAATCTCGTTCTCCTCCTTTCTGTTGGTTGGTTCGGATATCCCGGAGCTAGACTGAATAGCCGAATCTTCGTCCTCACTTTCACACTCAATGGCAGGGTTCACTAGGACGGATATTACATTCTGTTCCCAGTTTTCACCTTTATACCTCTCACTGTCCATGAGGCTGTAGAGTTGAAGAGTGATGGCTGGAGAGGAGAGAGGGAGAGAGAACCAGATGTTTTCTTGGAGAAAGAGAACTAGAGAACTAGAGAACTAGAGAAGCCTCCTCGTCTCTTCTCTTCTCTTTCTAGATCCTTGTTTAAACCTAACCTCACCATATTACAGGATTATAAAACTAATTATAATTGTTATGTACATTGTACATGCGTTTGCACATGTCTTTACATGTGACTAACGAAGATGCGTACTATTAGGTACATTAAAAGAAATTCCAGGTACTCAGTATTCCTTTCTTTTAAAATTTGATATTGAGAGGTATAAAATGCATAAAATAGAAGTAAAAAATGTTAACAAGCATAATGAACATGTAAACAAACATTTTTAAATTCTAATATATTTTGTTTAGAAGATCGTATACCTGACGAATCTCCCTTTATGTTTACCCAGCAATAGTTTGCGAAGCATTAAACCTTTATTAATCAAATATTTACCCCGAGAGGGGGGGGGAGGGGTAATTGTGTTATAAAGTGAGAAGGATTTTCAGGAGATTAATCGTATAATTAACAAGAACCCGTTCTATGAACTCATTTAATTAAATTAAAGATTAGATGTTTTATAAATATATTTATTTTTTTCAAGAAAAATTATTTTTTTTTCTTCAAAGAATCTTTTTCTTCTTCGGACCAATCACAGGATCTGAAAAAGGCTTTATGTAACTCCGTCTTTACTCTTAATTCACTCCGTCTTAACTTTTAATATATAGTTCGACCCTGGCCGCAGTACTGGATAAACAATGTTTTTTTCCTTGTATTTCACAGATTTTACAAAAAAGAATATTCAGACACAGTTCAGATGAGTGATGTTTTAAATATGAAAAATCTTTGGTTTCATTTATTTTTAAAATGGAGAAAATGGATTTAATATTTTTAATTAATCTTTGTCAGGTTTAATGGTTTAATTTAAACTTTTCAATTCTTTCTCATCCTTGTCTGTAATATTTTATTCATCTAATCGTAAGTCCAGGCCCGTAGCTAGAAATTTTTCAAGGGGGGGCGCCAATATTAAAAAAACTAAGATATGGATAATGAAGGGGCGCGGCGCAGGCGAAAAAAATTGTTTTTGACCTGAAAACCGCAAAAGGGTTAAAATTAATGACTCCACACTAAAAAACTGGATTTTTATCTTATTACACATTTTAAAGTATATAAAGACCGATATTTAGCCTGTATTGCATTATGTTTTTCTTTCCCGTAAGTGCTATTGAGAAGCTATTGCATCAAAACAAACAAAAAACTGGAAGTAAATTGATGTCATAATCATACTGATTAATCATTAAACTCTGATCAGAATATATATTAAGTACAGATTTGAGTTAAACTTTAAGTAAATGTATTTTAACTACAGGGAAAGTGGCATCAAGGATGTAAATGTCTGTAAAACTTTAAGAAAAGCTCAAGCATGAAAATCTTCAGATATCCCAGAACTAAAATTGGAATTTGAGAAAAAATCTCCTGAAAGCTTGAGGCAGAGTACAAACTGCAACTTCTCCTAAACCTGGCTATATTATATATAGTTTCATTTTGTCTCCATATTGTTACTTATTGCATTAAGATAGTTTATTAAAATTGTTAATCTAATAAAAGATGGGAAAAATATAAGTTTCTTAAAATACAAATGATTATTTTAAACCCTATAATTTTATAAGACCGGATAGAAATAAAAATTTCCGGATAATGTATTTCTTAATTTGAAGACAAAGTAATCCTAAACACATAGAACCGGTAAAACAAAAAATAGATTTTTTTCTTCCAATTTGCTCCCCTTTTTTCTTTCTTTCTTACATTTTTCGTTTCCTTCTTTAAATTTTTTTCTTTTTTGTCTCAGATAATGTGCCACCCCTAGCTACGGGCCTGCGTACGTCAATTATACTGTAATATTTTTAGTCCTTTTGTACTATTTTTTTGTATTATTTGTTTAATCAATTTGTATAATTACAGAATGAGTCCCTTAAACAAAGAAATTCCATGTCAAAGTTTTTCTTGTCAATTTGTTCATTGAGAAACAATTTATAAATTCACTCATGTTCAGGGCTATGGAAAAGATCTTAAGAGACAATTTTGAAGTTGTTTGATAAATTAAATTCTTATTTTTGAGTTGAATTTCATACCTTTCATTTTATTGGGACACCCTGTAACCTTAGTTTCATTTTATTGGGACAACCTGTCCCTTATTTACATTTTATTGGGAGACCCTGTCCCTTTTTTACATTTTATTGGGAGACCCTGTGTACCTTATTTACATTTTATTGGGATACCCTGTACCTTATTTTCATTTTATTGGGAGATCATGTACCTTATTTTCATTTTATTGGGAAATCATGTACCTTATTTTCATTTTATTGGGAGACCCTGTACCTTATTTTCATTTTATTGGGATACCCTGTACCTTATTTTCATTTTATTGGGACACCCTGTACCTTATTTTCATTTTATTGGGACACCCTGTACATTATTTTCATTTTATTGGGACACCCTGTACCTTATTTTCATTTTTTTTGGGAGACCATATACCTTATTTCAGTTTATTGGGCCACCCTGTACCTTATTTTCATTTTATTGGGACACCCTGTCCCTTATTTACATTTTATTGTGAGACCCTGCCCCTTATTTACATTTTATTGGGACACCCTGTACCTTATTTTCATTTTATCTTGGTGTTCTGTCTTCTTCCTCCTTCTTTTTCTCTTAGCTCCTTGGCTTTCTCTACGCTCAAACCTCGGCTAAATAAAGGAATCAGGACTTTGTCAAAAACTAGGATTTTCTATCCCTCTATCTTTGCAACCACATGGTTTGAACCTTTGATATTTTAAACTATGAAATCTGTTAGATCAAATGAAGTTTTGAATATCAACGGTTTACAACATCAGGTTGCAAAGATATAGAGATTTAAATGAAAAAGAAAATTCAATTTTGTTTGAATTTTCTTCCACAAAATTAACTTAGAAAATTTAAAACTTTGTTAGTTTCTTAAATCTATACAACTATTAAAGTTATTCATCAAATATTTAGTGTCCCAACGGCTTGGGCGTTGGTTATAAACACACTAAGTCACACTTTTTTGTGTCCTAGTTTGTTTCTATCTAAAAACTTTAAAGGATTAATTGGCAAAATACTGCTGATTTTTTTACGTGAGAGCTTCACATCTTGGTTTGCCGTGAACGAAGGAGAAAAAATTTATTTTAGATCGAATTCCTACAAATTCAGGAATAGAAATCAGCTGGAATTTTCCTCCGAAAAAAATCAGAAGTGAATAAAAAAATGTTTAGTAATATGAATAAAGTAAGAATATACACCCCTGTTAAAAGTTTAACTTTAACAAATTTTAAAGAAAATATCAACTTTAAAATAGTTTTCCTATTTATTAAAAATAGTGAAGCAACTTATACCTTGCAAGCCCCTTTTCTCCCAAGGCGGTATTCAACGGGTCCACGAAAAGAAATGCAACTTTCTCATAATTCTTGTCCGTAAAATCATTTGTGACGATATTATTTCTCCTAAATTATCGATATTAATCTTAATAATTATAGTTTTTAACACTCCTGAAATCCGATCTTTTGTGTGTCTATTGTTAATCTTGAACACTTGATCTATTTATGACAATCACGGAGTGTCAAGGGATTTAACTTAATCCGTAGATCAGGATAAGATGAAGATCAACGCTTGATCCCGAGATTCACAATACAAAATTTCTCACTTCTCTGGCTTTATAATTAAAATTATAGACTTTTGATAAAATGTAAAAGAGAAAGAACCGGATTTAGTTTAAAAGATATTTCTCTAAAAGTTAGAACTTTTGTGTTGTGAATCATGCATTCATATCTAAAAGTGCCAATACTGGAATTGGATATCGAGATAAAGCGTTCAAGTCCTCCGCACTAAAGCCGAAATTCGCAAAAATGTTCCACTGAAGAAAACAAGATTTTAAAGCTATAATTCACAAACATGTTCCACTACAGAAAACAAGCTTTTAAAGCAATAAATCACAAACACCCCTTTCCAGAGTAAAATAGGAATTTCTTCATCATTGTTTTTGTTTTCTTATTGAATTCTAAAATACCTAGTAACGTCCTTAATTGTGGATTTTCTGATTGCCCAGGCACCCTGTATATACATTTAACAAATACAGAAATAAAATCACAAATGTTAATTCTCAAATCATCATAGCAAGCTTTTAATTGTTTTAGGAATAAATAAAAAGGAATTAGAATTAATGCGTAAAAACTGTTACAATGTATTCAGTATTCACATCCTTTTTAGAAAAGGAATTGAGTCTTTGCCACAAAATATGATTTTCTAATCCCAATATCTCTGAAACCCAATGTCGTAAACCTTTGATATTTCAACCTTATATTTTTTGAAATGTTAATGGTTTACAAAGATACAGGGATTAGAAAATCAGAGTTTGCGGCAAAGACTCAATTCCTTTACAAAGCGTTTTAGTATTATATTGTCAAAAGGTTAAAATGTATAGGACACTTTTTCATATTTAATAATAATTTTGTACATTATCTAAAATATTCGGACAAAAAAAGATAGCGTAAAACGTTGCCTGGCCATTGGAGTCAAAGTTACAGTTGGTTATTGTTCCCCCTCCACTCCATCTACATCCAAACCCACTCCACTTATTCCTGGACAATATAACATTCCCCGGACAGTATATATTACATTTCCTGGACAATGTATAACATTTCCTGGACAATATATATAACACTTCCTGGACAATATATATAACATTTCCTGGCCAATATATATAACATTTCCTGGAAAATATATATAGCATTTCCTGGACAGTATATATAACATTTCCTGGACAATATATATCACATTTCCTGGACAATATATATAACATTTCCTGGACAATATATATAACATTTCTTGGACAACATATATAACATTTCCTGGACAGTATATATAACATTTCTTGGACAATATATATAACAATTCCTGGACAATATATATAACATTCCCTGGACAGTATATATAACATTTCCTGGACAATATATATAACATTTCCTGGACAATATATATAACATTTCCTGGACAATATATACAACATTTCCTGGACAATATATATAACATTTCCTGGACAATATATAACATTTCCTGGAAAATATATAACATTTCCTGGACAATATATATAACATTTCCTGGACAATATATATAACATTTCCTGGACAATATATATAACATTTCCTGGACAATATACATAACATTTCCTGGACAGTATATATAACATTTCCAGGAAAATATATAACATTTTCCTGGACAATATATATAACATTTCCTGGACAATATATATAACATTTCCTGGACAATATATAACATTTCCTGGACAATATATGTAGTGAATGCCATACTCCCTGATTGGTTCTCGAACACGTATCTATCCTTGTAAAATTCAGTTTCACATAAAAGAAAGGATGAATATTTAAATGAATGAATGCATCTGCTAAAAGATGAATGAATGGCTAAATGAATAAAAGAAAGGATGAATAAAAGAATGAATGTTTTAATATATAAATTAAACCAAAAGATGATGAATAAATGCAAAATAAATGAATTAATAAAAGAAAGGATGAATATATTAATGAATAAATGCAATTGCTAAATGATAAATGATTGGCTAAATGATTAAAAGATAGAATGCAAATTTTGATTAAAGAAAGGATCACCTGCTTAATGATGAATTGTTGAGATTAACCCTTGACTGTTCGTGAAGAACAAATACTCCACAGCCACCTGGATTATCAACTTGTACACAGGATTCAACTGAACATACAAATATTCAAATAACAGAAATCGGAACTTTTTAATCGTCGGATTAAGTTAATTCCTCCTGAAAAGGGTTAAAGATCAATAAATGAACGTTAGGAAGATCAAACCTAATCGATTTAAACTTTAAATGGACTTCAAAACGATATCCTTTAATCATGAGATATCCTTGATTTCTCTCTGAAAACTATTTTACAGTTACAGTTACTCAAGAAAAGTGACTTGTGGTTTTATGCAGCATAGCAAGGATGAAGAATCATTTAAAATTACGTACACAGTCTCTTAGAAAATATATCTCTCATCTTGTTTGATACATTTACTATTTTCCTCTTAAAGCCATCAGGGGTAAGATCCCAAATATAAGATTATTATATTTATTATAAGATAATTTGTTGGAAGTAGTTTTCAGAGGAAAACATTAGTGAATTATGTAGGATCCCTGGGATACATCATTTAAATATTAATACAGCAATGTCCACTCTTATATACACTATTAATGGTTAATTGTTTTCATTCAAATTTTTGAGTACACAGGTAACATTCTGTAAAAAGTTGCTATTAAATACAGTGAAACCCTTAATAACGAATACATCGAAAGAATTCATCAAATGTTGTATTCTTAACTTTCTGATAATGGAATGTTACAGATATTTAGTTTTTTAATTAAATGATTATATGGAACTCTTTAAAACTGTTCCCGCATACACAGCTATTTATTTATTTTCGCAAATACTGAAATTTACGTAATATAGTATAAAACTCATTGAAAAATTGTCGAGACGACATTTGATAAATTCTTCCGATGTATTCCTTATTAAGAGTTTCACTGTAGAAAATGGTGCAACTTTAAATTTAAAAATAAATCAATAGCCTAAACCTTTAAAACTAGCTATTGGGGTTGGGTTGTTTGGTGGATTTTCAAATAAAAACTTCAATGAATTTTTATTTGATATCTTATTTTAGAACTAAATTTACCTGTTATAGTTGCTCCGTTGGTAGCATACACAGCACCATATCCTCCACACCCTAGTGTAATATTTAAAGTATAGGTGACTCATGCTAAAAACCTCCCCCAGCCTCACACCTTTATCTCTTTGTTCTTTTAATGAATGCATAAATATAATATAAATATGAATATAAATAAACTCCTTTCACTAGTATTTTATTTTGAGTAATCATGCTTTAAGAATGAATTCAAAGACGAACCTAATATTTGTGATTTGGAAAGAAAAATATCAGCTTTGTTTCTCCCCCACACACCAGAGTTATCAGTATTCTAGGCTCATTTTTATCATCTTATTCGTCATTTAAAGAAAAAGGGATTTTCCAATTTTAAAACCCATTTTTCTCTTAAGGAAAGATACAAATATGGTTTTTTAAGTTTAAGAGACGATATGGTCTTAAAAAATAATGATAACTTGAGAATAATTTTGATAATTTTTCAAGATTGCATTTATTATTGAATATTAGCACCAAATCAATCTTATAAGTTAATTTTCTATCACAATATCGTTCTTGGTATGAATATTTAGTATTTTCTGAGAAAATAAAAATGAAAAACCTTCCTTGATTGTTGACTCCAATATCTTTACTGTAGACTGATCACCAATAATCCCTCGAACCTCCAAACCAGAACCTTCTAGCATACTGTTTCTAAAATAGTTAGGAAGGAATAAAGGAAATGTGATAGTATTATGTATTATGAACCATTCCTCTTCAAATGCTTACAAAAATGTTAAAGTAAAAGAAATTATTATGTAAGTTTCATTCATTTAAAAATAAAAAATTTATATTTTTTTATCTGAACTTAATTGAATTTATTAAGTAAAAAGTTGTGCAAGCAGTCCAGGGAGAAAATTCCCATTTGTTACATTATATCAAATACTAGATTATCAAATACTAGATTATCAAATACTAGATTATCAAATACTAGATTATCAAATGATTGCGCTTTTAGTGGGGTGGGGTGGAGAGTGTGTGACACCAGTTCTCGTTAGATCACTGAAGTTAAGCACGCTTGTTCACAGCCAGTAACTGGATTGGTATCCAGACTGGTGTTCACGGGTTCGATTCCCGTACTCCACTCAAACCTCCGGTTTCAAAAACATCTGAAGCTGACATCTGGTTAAGCAGTTATGACCACCTGACGGATGTAGGAGGACAGAGGGGCAGCTGTCAACAACTCTCGCAGCGAAAAGGTGCGTGCTTTCTACTCAACAAGAAAGAAGCTTCAAGTGGGATTGATCCAAGTGGATGATGATGAAGAGAGGAATGGTGGACAAGCAGGGAGAGTCTATGGTTGCCAGCTATAGGTACCTGGGGGTATCCAATCCGGGCTTACAGATGTTAGGGAGCAATGAGTGTGATGTTTCCTATCAGTACGGCACCCGGGCCTCATTCCAGTATATCAGAAGGATTCCTGCACTCTATATTCTCAGGCCTAAGAAGAATCTTAGGCAGCTGGAATCTTGTCAACCCTCTTTTCAGAATGAATGAAGCGTGGATGGATGAATGTGCTGCCAGATTACAACCCCTGGTAGATCAATATAAAAACCCAGACAACACCAAACTTTCGCAATAGAAAAAATTCCGAGCTTTGATCGTTACAACCCAATCATGTCCTGGGGACAAAAAAATCTCTTTTAAAAAATGATTCCGCTTTTTACCTTTTCCTTCTGTTATGTTGAAAGGTATATTTAACGATTTAGCTGAAGAGTTTCTTTAAAGGGACTGTAAGTGTAATTTCAAGTGACTTTCCAGTTATAGAGAAGCATGTCCGATTCACAACGGTATCCTTTAAACCTTTGTCCGGACTACGGTGAGTTAGATACCCTCATTTGTACAGCTGAAGATTGAGTGCCGGAAGAGGAGACTCCATGCTAGTGTACACTGTACTGTACATGCTAGTGTACACTGTACTGTACATGCTAGTGTACACTCGCGCGGTTTCTTGGCACTTATTTTCCCGCTCTATAAACAAGAATATCTATGAAATCCTTTATCAAACAAAAGTTTATAAATGGAAGGTCACTTTAAATAACGCTTCCAGTACAGTCCCTTTAACGGTATTTTTTAAACATGTAAATATCAAATATCAAAAGCAACTTTATTCCACATGAGATTAAACAACATTATCCTACATTTTTATTCAAGATTAAGATTGAGCTAATTTTTGAGTGGCAGAAGTAAAGATTTGTAATATAATGTAAAAATTTACCAATATTATTAAAAAAATACACTCATTTGTCTTTTTTATTTGTCAAATATTATATTAAGTGTAAATATGGACATGTAACACCTCTTCAAAAAAATTTACTCATTAATAATGTTACTGATACCTTTTTGCTTCTTTCATGCTTGTGCATAAAATCAATGCTAAAGAAGAGCTATGAGGTCACATCCTTGCCACAAAATCTGATTTTCTACTCACTATAACTTTGCAACCCAATGTAGTAGACCTTAGATATTTCAAGCTAGGAGTGCTGTTAGATCTCATAATCTCAGTTTAAAATTCCGTTTGCCTTCTCCTTCTGTTTAGTTCGTAGTATAATAAATACTTTATAGATTTTTACCGAATTTTTTATAATTGTTTTCAACAAAATGTCTAAAATTCAAATGCCTTTTTTATCTGTATACTTGCTTGAATGTCTGTTTGTTTGTTTGTATCCAATAAACATCAAAACGACTGAACCGGTCGGGCCCATATTTTGAGTGGAACTTCGCATGACCCCAGGGAAGGTTTATGTATGCTCAGAGTTACAAAAAGTTGTATTCAAAGCTTTATATTTAAGTGAAATTAAAAAAACTTGGCTTTTAGGGCGCTTCGCGCCCATCTTCTATTTCAACATTTAATTGTGGCTTTATCTGTGAGCATCTACTCTTTGTACAGTATAAAACAAAAACTAAAAAAAATTTGCGGATTTCATAATATTATTTAGCGCATTTTCAAAATTTTGCAAACATAAAAAACTTCTTACACAAATTTTTAAAATTTTGATCATTCATAAACTTTCCATGGGGTCACGTGAGGTCCCACACAAAATTTGGGCATGATCGGTTCAGCTGTTTTGACGTTTATTGGATACAAAGAAACAACAAACCGCGAACTTTTTTTGTTTTGTTTTATGCTGTACTGTACAAAGGGAAGATGCTCACTGATCGAGTCACAATTAAAAGTTAAAATAGAGGATTACCCCTAATTCGTTTTAAAAAAACAGACATCAATACACTTCCTATAGGCTCAGGTTAGTTCCTCATTCCAAAATATTTGTATTTTTAAACTATGTAAATAATTCTTTTATGTAATTTTTGTATTGTCGACAGGCATAATAAAATCTGATCTATTGATGATCTCACTTGATATTTAAATCTGATATATTGATGATCTTACTTGATATTCAAATCTTATCTATTGAGGATCTTACTTGATATTCAAATCTGATCTATTGATGATCTTACTTGATATTTAAATCTGATCTATTGATGATCTCACTTGATATTTAAATCTGATCTATTGATGATCTTACTTGATATTTAAATCGCTGTTGAGGGCATAAACACAACAGGAAGTGTTTTGTCTAAAAAATATAATTATTCATCTTTCAAACTTAACATGTACCTTAATTTTTCATTTTTTATTTTTTTAAAAGGTTAAAAGCAAAAGACTGATTAGTTTGTTCCACGAACAAAAAAAATATCAATAAAAGAAAATCAAACGTAAAGGAAAAATTCTGATGACTAGGAGAAACTATTTTTAAAATGTCACAATTAAACTTAAAAACTCGACCTGTTAGGGTAGGGTGCCTTGTCAGAGCCAGGATTGTTACAAGATATATTACAGTTCTCTATATATACTGATCCACAGGATATAAACTCCAGGCTTTTTCCATTGATAAACCCCTGGAGCAGGTTTAAACCATTTTCACATATTTATTAATGGAATTGTAGACGAAATTACAAGTGACCCTGTATTTATGGAGTGGCCTGACTTATTCACTGTCGACAACTTTCTTTTTCTCTTCTAATCACATAGGTTTAAAAGATGCGTGGTCCAAACCCAGTACAAGGATTGCCTGGTTATAGTGTTTACAATTGTACCAGCCCGTCTACTGTACCAAGTATGTTGTTGACTCAGCGTGTTTTATGCAAGATAAGGGGAGAGGGACTATAGTTGTTGACTTTAAAAGTCAATATGATAAAATAAAAGGAGATCTACATGGATATTTCTAACATTTATTTAATAAAACGGATGTTTTGAAATATTTTCCCAAGTGGCATTAAAATTGGTTGGTTTAGAAATTAATAAAGAAACTATAGACGAATATCAATTGGAGGTGTTTGTAGAACTTCATGATGGTGGTGCAGATCATCAATCTTGACGGCAGGCTTACTCACAACTAGGCTTAGTCTAAGGGAGAGAGATTGCGGACTTATCCTGTATACAGGATAATGGAAGGAAGTCTGGTTCCGCCCGGATCTCTGGAACATTGCGGAGCGAACTATTGTTACCTTCTCCTGTGGGGCGCGGAGCTAGGTGTAAGCAGTGTCTTCTGTTGTTGGTTCTGTATCTGAATCATCATCATGGAGGAGCCAGGGTTGAGACGGAGTTGTTAATGTCTTGAGTGTTCATGGCTGACTGCCGGGGCTGGGATCTGTATAAGGGGGGGGGGGGGAGAAGAAGCGGGGTTTGACATGTGTGCACTACGTGGAGGAAATAGATCTTGAGTACGCAAACATCTAGAGAAAAGGCTACGGCAATTTGAGTCGGAAAAATCGTCTTCCTTATATTTCGAATTAATTTTAACAATAGTGCTTTAATGCTCAAATCCGCAAGTCCCTTTCAGCATGAACTGCAATTAAAATGCCAAGATAGAACAAGAGGAATAACTTAATAAGTTTTCCTTAGACAAAGGTTTAAAGGAAACTGTTCACGGGCAGCCGTAGTACATTAGAATTTCCGAGCCGGGTCAACCTTTTCGGTACCAGTTTTTACTGTACCTAGCTCTATGGACAGGACTAGCTGGTGCAACAAGGTTGACGCGGTCAGACTTTGTATAGACTTTATATAGATTGAATTTTCTTTTACTAAAGAGGCAGATTTGCGTGTGTTGTGAATCGGGCAGTCTATAAACGGGGGGTCACTTGAAATAACATCTACTGTTCCTTTAAAAGATTTCGTTTCTTTTGTGGAAATTCATGGAAAAATAGATTAAAATTACAAATAATTGCAAAATGTGTGCATGGTATAAATAGAAGCATAAAAACATTTTTTTAAGAATCTAGAAAATCACTCTTGAGTTTGTTTTAATCTTAAAAGTAAACATGCACACTAAATTACACATTTAAATTTAAAAATGTTACAAATAGTTTTTTTTCAGAAAGAAACTTTGATTCTCTAAATCTTATATCTTTGCAACCCAACGTCGTAGACGTTAACTTTTCAAACTATGTAGTCTGTTTTAAATTAAATAATCAAAGTTTTAAATATCAAAGGATTACACCATCAGATTGCAAAGATAATGAGATTAGAAAAATGAGTTTTTTGCAAAAACTCTACCTTCAACTTAGCATGCAGAGATTTAAAAAAAAGATTATAAATCCAGACTCATCCCATGGTTGTTTAAATGATTTACCTCAGATTGGATTTTTAAATTTTTTATTGATACACTGCAATCTGAAAAAAATACGTATGAAGATTTTGCTTTTTTGATAAAATGTTTTAAATTACTTTTAAATGTGATATTTGCTAGTTCTAGTTGCTTATTCTTCTCCAGCTCAGTCTCTCCATCTATATCAACCTCACAATCCTGTAGGTAAACAACTCCAGACCTATACAGAGTAGATACTAGATACACTACTCCAGACCTATACAGAGTAGATACTAGATACACTACTCCAGACCTATGTAATTATTGTCCCACCAAGATGTAAAGTTTGTTTTAAGGGAAACAGCATTTGAAATGTTTTTTTGGTATTTCAATAAATATTTGAATTTAACGAAAAGCACCCGAAATATTTCTTAACAGTATCTGTTCAGTGTGTACTGTTCATGGATATAATTAATGTTAAATACCATTCATGGAATTTTATTCTATAATATGTGATATTTGCCGTTTTCTAGAAATGTCAAATATTAGTGAATTAGTTTCATTTATTTAAAATTTGTAAAATGCTTTACATTAAAGATGTCCCTTCATAGATAGAGTGGAATGCATTAAACACAATGGTACCTTTAAATCCTTAATCTTATCAATAATATGGAAGATAATGCTGTGTTGATATCTTGAAATGTGTTCAATTCTGTTGTTTTCTCCATTGTTTCTGGAGCAAAAACTGTATGCGAAATTCACTTTTGTTAGAATCCATAAATGAAAATAAACAGTTTTAAACCAATACATGGATTATTAATTCATATTTAATTAAACAATATTTTTTTTCAGGGTACTGATGTAGGTCGTACATGCCACTCCATTGAGGGTTATTATTGAAATTATGCTTTCAAAAATTTCGGTTAAAAAGCCCATAAAGGTTTTAAGAAAAAAAAGTAAAAGTAAAAAATTAAATTACCTGGAGAATCTTGTTAGCCCTGCGGAGCTTTTTATCACGTCTACAGTCACAAATTTAGGTTTTTCGCACATTTTCCTTATTCTAGGAGAGAAATTAACTCTATATTCTCATTTTCCTGATTCTCGGGGAGAAATTAACTTTATATTCTCATTTTCCTGATTCTAAATAAATAAATAAATACAGGAATGTTTTGGAATTTCAAAATAAAATTTACCAATCTATTAACATTTTTAATAGAATTCTGATTTCTGCATCTTTTCTTCGAACTGATTTTTAAAGAAAATCACAAAAGAAGCTTGATTAACAAAAAACAAAGTCTGCAATGTCTAAACTCTTATATTGAATTTCACAATTCTAATTTTTATAATTCATATTTTCTTAAAATAAGTTATTTGAATTTTTAACAAAAAAAGATGTTTTATTAGAAATCGAAACCCAGAATTCTCTGTTGAAGATTAAATATGTGCTAGTTATTGATTTTTATAGTTTCAATGTCAACTCTAGACTATAGACTGCTACACTACAGCTTTCAAAACCAAGCCTCAGTATTTTATAGAGTCCAGAGGTATATAAATAGTTTACGGAAACTAATCAAAGTAGTAGTAGTAGTAGGTTATAGACAGTAGACAGAAGACAAAGATAAGTTGTATGAACAACTACTGCTGGTTCAACTTTGTGACGTCGTAGCTCCCCAGGATACATTTAAACCGACTACGGTTCCGATGGCAAAGATGTAGGGTAAATAATTCTAGACTTTTGATGTTCGACATCAGCGTGACGAAGACAAAATTTGAGCCGCGCCTATAGTTTTGATTTTACGCAGAAGTATACGAAAATCAAAACATTGGTTTCGTCTCACTAGCTCTTCAGTAGGAGTAGTTATGATTGATAACATATACTTCAGTTTGACGTGTGATTTACTTTAGTTTCACGTGGAAAGTGCTTGTTTTCCTTTTTATTATGACATATCAGGACACAGGGATTTATTCATCGTCAAAAATCAACATTAAGATTCTTTTTTATTGTCTAGATATCCTTGAAATCTATCTTTTCACAGGCATTCCAAACATATCCAACAAATAAATGTTTTCTTGAGTATCTAAGTCTGCTGAAATTTTGTAAATATTTCTTTTTAACTTGTCTTTCTATTTTTGTTTTTGTTTTACTCAAGATTGATTAAAAGATGTTTTGCGTTGCGCCGTTGTCTTAGGACTTGAGTCTTTGTCACAAACTCAAATTTTCTAATCCTTATATCTTAGCAACTTGATGGTGCAAACCTTTGATATTTCAAACTTAGATTATTTGATCTACCAGAATTCATAGTTTGAAATATCGAAGGTCTACGGCATTGGGTTGCAAAGATATAGGGGTTAGAAAATTTGAGTTTGTGGCAAAGACTTAATTCCTTTAAGTACTTCTTAAGAAAAACCGATCTCTAGAATATTTATCGAATATTTCTGAGATCTGGCTTTTCCTGTTAATTCCATGAAATATCTTTGAGATTTATCTTTTCTTAGACATTCCATAAGTTATCCTTGATATCTATATTTCCATTGACATTTAATAACTATCCTTGAAATCTATCCTTTCTTAACCATTCCTTAATATTCTTGAGATCTATTTTTTCTTAGACATTCCATTAATATCCTTGAGATCAATCTTTTCTTAGAATGCATGCCATAAATATCCTTGGGATTAATCTTTTCCTAAACATTCCATAAATATCCTTGGGATTAATCTTTTCCTAAACATTCCATACACATCCTTGAGATTTATCTTTTCTTAGATATTCCATAAATATCTTTGAGATTTATCTTTTCTTAGATATTCCATAAATATCCTTGAGATCTATCTTTTCTTATAAATTCCATAAATATCCTTGAGATCTATCTTTTCATAGATATTCCATAAATATCTTTGAGATCTATCTTTTCTTAGATATTCCATAAAAATCCTTGAGATCTATCTTTTCTTATAAATTCCATAAATATCCTCGAGATCTATCTTTTCTTATAAATTCCATATATATTCTTGAGATCTATCTTTTCTTAGATATTCCATAAATATCTTTGAGATCTATCTTTTCTTAGACAATCCATAAATATCCTTGAGATCTATCTTTTCTTATACAATCCATAAATATCCTCGAGATCTATCTTTTCTTATAAATTCCATAAATATCCTTGAGATCTATCTTTTCTTAGATATTCCATAAATATCTTTGAGATCTATCTTTTCTTAGACAATCCATAAATATCCTTGAGATCCATCTTTTCTTATAAATTCCATAAATATCCTTGAGATCTATGGTTTAATAGACATTTCATAAATATCCTCGAGAAATATATTTCCTTTGACATTCCATAAATATCCTCGAGATCTATCTTTTCTTAAAAATTCCATAAATATCCTTGAGAAACTAGCTTGAGGTTACTAAAAGTTACTCTCGCCTTTAACCCGCACTTGAACGATTTTACTTGGAAACTGAATTTTCGCTATTTAAGTCCACCCACTCAACTTAGAATCTCAAACCAGGCTAAGAACATTCCCATGGAGTTCCAAAGTTCCCCGGTCAAAATATAAGGCAAGTCGGTCCAGTGGTTCCTGTGTTATTACCGGACAAACAAATATTCAAACAGAGATTACAACTTTATATACAGGGTGTCCCACGAAACATGACAGTTGGTAAACAATTTGGAATGTCTTCTTCCCTATACTGCATTTTTGCATTTTTTTTCGATAAAAAAATCTTTTAATAAAATTTATTTTACTTTGAAATCAATTAAATATTCTTTTAATTCTCTTTGGTATTAAACAACTAAAGTAATTATGGAAGAAGACATTTTAAATTATTCACCAACTTTCATGTTTCGTGGAACACCCTGTATAAAGATTACATAAATATACTTGAGATCTATAAATATTCTTATTTTTTGGCACCGATCATTGTATATTTATTTTCTTAGGAAGAAAGTTTGAGAAATGGCTAAATTAAATAAATATTTTCCAGATTTCTCAAAATATTTTTTTCGTATTCCAAACCCTCGTCAGCTTAAGATACGTAGAAAATCTTTTTCTTTGTCTTGAACACATTAATAAGAATATCCAGATTAAAATTTGAATTTTATTTACTATTTTTTATGTAATCCATAGTTAAATTATTTCAATTCCGAGTTTTTACAAAAACATGATTTGTTTTGTTTAATACTGAGAGTGGTACAAAAAAGAGTAGTCGTTGCTTTTATCAATACAATGAAGACGACTTGTCTAGCTAAGTTTTGATTTCTAACTTTATTAAATTTTTTTAATTACAGGTTTACAAGTAAACAAAAAGAAGTGGTGCATTGACAGATTAATGTCTGAATAATAAAGATCACCTTTAAAAAAAATTTTCTTAAAAATATTTAAAGAAGTTTGAACCCATCTTTCCTGCACTGAAGACACCCCTGAGAATCTTCTAATAAATCAGTCAATTTAAAATTGAAGTAATTTGTTCAGTTTGGTTCTCCTGCCTCCCCTCACCCTACCCTCTACACTCTACCCTGCAGAGTCTAGTATTCAAAAGCAGAGGAAAAACAGGGAAATAAATCCTAAACCATCATTTTGATTAATTTAGCAGACAATTCTTACATAGCAGACCATATATACAGTATCTACACATAGCAGACCATATATCCAGTATCTACACATAGCAGACCTCATATCCAGTATCCATACATAGTAATCTGTATATCTTATATCCATTAATAAAAGCAGACAATATATCCAATATCAATTCATTTCAGACCATATATCAAGTATCCAAACAAAGCAGACTAGACCATATATACATACATGCATAGCAGACTACATTTCCAGTATCCATTCAGAATTGCAGACTTTATATCTAATATCCTAACATAGCAGACTATATATCCAGTATTTATTCATAGCAGACTATATATCCAGTAACCATGCATAGCAGACTTTATATCCAGTATCCATATATAGCAGACTATATATCCAGTATCCATATATAGCAGACTATATATCCAGTATTTAAACATAGCAGATATTTCTAGTATCCATTCATAATAGCAGACTGTATATCCAGTATCCATGACATAGCAGACTATATATCCAGTAACAATACATAGCAGACTATATATATCCAGTATCCATATATAGCAGACTATATATCCAGTATCCATATATAGCGGACTATATATCCAGTATTTAAACATAACAGATATTTCTAGTATCCATTCATAATAGCAGACTGTATATCCAGTATCCTTGACATAGCAGACTATATATCCAGTAACAATACATAGCAGACTATATATATCCAGTATCCATATATAGCAGACTATATATCCAGTATTGATATATAGCAGAATATATATTCAGTATTTAAACAAAGCAGACTATATTTCCAGTGTATGTTCCTAATAGCAGACTAAATATCCAGTATCCATGACATAGCAGACTATATATCCAGTATACATACAAAAAGGAAACGCTAAGAATTCATTGCTTCCAGCAAGGGATGAGCTGATTTTGGATTGAATGTATTGTATACAGCTAGGGATGAGCGGATTATAGAATGAATATATTGAATACAGCTAGGGATGAGCGGATTATAGAAAGAATGCATTGAATACCGCCTAGGGATGAGCTGATTTTGGATTGAATGTATTGTATACGGCTAGGGATGAGCGGATTATATAATGAATGTATTGAATACAGCTAGGGATGAGCGGACTATAGAATGAATGTATTAAATACAGATAGGGATGAGCGGATTATAGAATGAATGTATTGAATGCAGCTAGGGATGAGCGGATTATAGAATGAATGTATTGAATACAGCTAGGGATGAGCTGATTTTGGATTGAATGTATTGTATACAGATAGGGATGAATGGATTATAGAAAGAATGTATTGAATAGTCAGGGATGAGCTGATTATAGAATAAATATATTGAATACAGCTGAGATGAGCTGATTATTGAATGAATGTATTGAATTCAGCTAGAGATGAGCGGATTATAGAATGAATTTATTGAATACAGCTAGGGATGAGCGGATTATAGAATGAATGTGTTGAATACAGCTAGGGATGAGTGGATTATTGAATGAATGTATTGAATACAGATATGGATGAGCGGATTATTGAATGAATGTATTGAATATAGCTAGGGATGCGCGGGTTTGACAGGTTTTGGAATTATGAGTATACACGGGTAACCCTGGAGTGAGGTGTCCGACTAGAAGTCGTAAATCCTTCAGTTCAGAATTACTCCGATTAGTCAACACTTGTAATGCAGGAGGAGCAAGACAAGGCACTAAATACTGAGGAGGAGGAGGAGGAGGAGTTTATTTGAACAATATTAAAAAATTATAAAAGTAAGATGTTACAAATATGCAATCAACTAAAAATGAGGCCTAATTAAATCCTACAGTTAATAAACATTGATCAGGGAGGAAAACTAGAGATTTCTAGATACAGGGGTGTATATTTTGAAGAAAACAATTAATAAATAAACATTGATTAGGGAGGAAGACTGTCGATTTCTAGGTGCAGGGGAGTATATTTTCTCCAAAAACAATTTATAAATATATTTTTGGGTAAAAAGTATCAAAAAGAATAAAAAAATACACTTATGTCTAGATGTTTGTTTATATTTGTTCAATTTTGGATTAATGGCACTATCATCTGTAAAAATCAAAGATAATATATACTACAGTGATAACCAGAAAACTCTGAAATAGTAAGACGACTTTACAGCAATACTTTTAATGGTGTTACAAAGCAAATAATTTTAATAGACACTTATTAGATCACTAATTAAGTGAAATGGGTCTGTTTAAACTGTACAACTGCTGCGTATCATGCTTATTGGACCATTTAAAGTCATATCTTCAGTCTGAAAGTCGTCTTCATATTTCAGAGTTTTCTGGTTATCACTGTGCATATATATATATATATACACTTTAAATTATCTTTGGTATAATTCAGACGATTTTTCGTTAATCCCTAGCTACTGTAATTCCCCGAGATCATCCCTAGATGCTTTAATTCAAGAATATCTGATCAACCTATTTTAATCCAACAATTAGATTACAGTGATTCTAATCTAAATATAAGCATGCCTGATTCACAACAGTACCCTGCAAACCTTTTTCTGTTTAATATTGTAGATAATACATAGTCGTTTCTTAGCTTGACAAATACTTGATCATCACAACTTTCTCCATTGTTCATAAAGTTACTTTTATAAAGAAAACGGCGTTTGAAAATAATCAATTTATAGAAAGAATTGTTAATCGGACAGACTCCTCTTTAAATGTAGTGTCACTTGAAATTATGAAAACAGTCCCTTTAAATATATCAAATTATGAAACAGTCCCTTTAAATATATCAAATTCCATGAAACCGTCTGAAAGGTTGCGCGAATATTTAAACCAAAAAATGTCATAAATATTTCCCTTTAGAAATTACAAAATAACGAAGGAAAAAAACGTTGATTTCTCAATAAATCGTGAAATTTGGTTAAATTAGTACTGTCATCGACATATTTTTCAACATGATTTTAGTCTGTTTTTTGATAAAGTAATAAAAGCTGCTACAAGTCAATGGTGGTGTAATGTTCTGTGAAGTGTACTGCCCAGTTCAGAGAAAAAATAAACGAAGATAATTCTACGACCACGACATACCGATAAACACGGTTCACTGAAATAAGCATACGAGTTACCCAATCAAAATTTGAGGCAAATCGGTCAAGGGGTTCACGAGTTGTGATCGGGAAAACATACAAGCAGAAAAATAGAAATTACTGCTTTTAATACGATGAGATATTTTGGACGATTTCGAGTCGTCTTTTTTACAACAATTTATACTTGGAAAATGAATTTATTAAACTAATAGTTAAATTGTGTTCTTCTAAAAAGCTCCTTTCTTCATTTATCTTGATATTTAGGATCCAAGAGCTAGAAGAATATTGAGCTGAGCAAACTTGTGCTGTGCTGTCTCCCTCTCTCAGTTTTAATTGCCCATTCCACTGAATTTATGGCACTCGGAGACCCATGCAAATGGGACTTTCTGGGAGAAGAGATGCCGTAACTTTGATCCAGAGTCCCCTCTTGTCTCATATTTCTCCGGCGCTGCCAGAATTATCAAATCTTTTCTCTGGAATAATCTTCAAACTTCTTCTTCTAAACTTATACAGGGTGTCACAACAGAATTTTTTTTTAGAATATTCTTAGTACGGAAAGTACCAATTCCAACATGAACTGGGTGTCTAAACATAGTATGCACTGTTTCCTCGTCGCTGCGCAAACGCATATTGAACAAGCTGTGGGACATCATTCAATAACATATTATTCTAAACACTGAGAGAAAATACAAGAACTAATTTATTCATACAAAGTATTTAACACAAAAAAATGTTTTTTTTTTACCATTTTAATATAAAAAGTAAAAAAGTACAAAACAGGTTTCAATCCTTACAAAAACTGTATTTTTGTAGACTGTAGACTGTAAATATCGAGGACAAAAAGTTACAAAAACATTAAACATAATAAAACTCAAAATCATGAACTGGGTTGGGGGGTCGGGCCTTCTTCTAGGAGCTGGACATGTTTTTCCAGGATAGTTTCATGTCCTTGAAACAGGAAGTAGGCATGGAATCTCTGGTTCTAATACGCAATTAATCTTTTATATTTATGCACTAGAATATTTTATTTTCTAACACAACTTTTAAGTGATCAATTAAGAAGTTTCCCTGTGAATCATAAAATTCTTAAAAGTATTTTATAAAAGTTGAAATATTAAGATTAAGTGCGTATTCCTGAAACATGTGCTGATACCAGTATTGATCATCAGCCCACATTTTATCATAAGGAATCTAAACAAAAAAAATGTTATGATGGAAGAAATATAATGTTTAGATTAAAGGGACTATAAGCTTAATTTCAAGGTACTCAATGCAAAGATAACAATTCCCGATTCACAACGGTACGCCTTAAAGCTTTGTCTGATCAAGTACAGGGTGTCCCACGAAACATGACAGTTGGTAGATAAAAATTAGATATGGATGTTTTTAATTTGGAAAATTTTGAAAATGTTCAATGAGCATTTCTACTGCAGGAAAACATATTGGAATAATCAGAAATAAATACTTTCAAACCTCAAGAAACGACAATATTGATCAGATACAGAATTCAATGGTACCGTTGTGAATCGGGCATTGCTTTCTTTGACTGGTGGGTCACCTGAAATAACGCTTACACTCTATTTAAGTGACAAAACTTTGCCAAATACATGATCTATACTATTCTGGGCCAGCGTACATATAATTATATATCCATGGTTGCACCCCAGGACGTAACCCTATAATTATATATTTATTTATCTATATAAAATGATGAAAAGTTTAAATGTTATTAACCTGATCTTCTTTAAACCATTGAGGTCTCATCTCCTCTGTCTCTTGCATAGTTCCGGAAAATTCTCTTTAAAAAACAGGTTTATATAGGTTTAAAACAGGGGTATATAGGTTTAAAAACACGGAAATAAATGTTAAAAAAACAAGGAAATAAATGTAAACAAGGAAATAAATGTTTAAAAACAGGTTTATATATGATTAAAAACAGGTCTTTATATGTTTAAAAACACGGAAATAAATGTTTAAAAACAAGGAAATAAATGTTTAAAAACAAGGAAATAAATGTAAACAAGGAAATAAATGTTTAAAAACAGGTTTATATATGATTAAAAACAGGTCTATATATGTTTAAAAACAGGTCTATATATGTTTAAAAACAGGTCTATATATGTTTAAAAACAGGTCTATATGATAAAAAGTATTTATATGATTAAGTATATATGTTTAATACAGGGGTATTTAAAAACAGGTCTATATATGATTAAAAACAGGTTTTTATATGATTAAAAACAGGTCTACATTTGTTTAAAATTGGTCTATCTATGATTAAAAACAGGTCTATGTATGTTTAAAAACAGGTCTATAATATGAATAAAAACAGGGTTATATATATTAAAAACAGGGTTATATATATTAAAAACAGATTTGTATATTTAAAAACAGGAATATTTATTTTAAACCCTTGCAAAAAGAGAGTTATCGAAGCTTTGAAATTAAATTAAATTAAGAAGGAAAATGAGAGGGAAAAAATTAATTACCTTGTTTGGAAAACATGTACTTCAAGTAGAACAGGATCTTTCTATTTTTTCAGATAATACAATAAATACCCCCGTCCCCTAACACCCCCGTCCCCTAACACCCCCTTAATTAAAGGAAACACTCCATTTAATGCAAAGTATAAGGTCCTTAACAGTTAACTGTGCTTTGAAGTGGCCCTCCACATTGAGGCATGTCCGATTTTTCCCTCTTTCTCTTCTGCTACATCAATGCGCTTTTATATAGAGAACATAAATTTGAAATAATCAATTTTCAGACAGAAAAAAGGAATATTTTGGAAGTAAGTAGTTAAACCAGATTTGATATTTATTTTAGCAAAGATTAGTCTATTATGTAGGACTTGCTTCTCCTATGCAGGTTGAAGAGTTAGTGAATTTCTCAAGAATCCTATTTTTTCCCGTATTTAATATTACAATTTCGAGGATTACTAGTTCTGATTTAAAGAGAAAACCCATCCTCTACAATATCTCCATTATCTTCACTCAAAAAAGGTTTAAAGTGTACCATTGTGGATGTAAAATAACACTCAATAAATAAAAGATTAATTCCTTTTAAAACCAACACTGTAAATGTGCTTAATCCAAAAAGTTCCAGGTTGAGAATAAATTATTTAAAATTTGTAATAAAAAATTAAGATCTAATGACGTCACCATAGGGTCGGAGGTGGGAGGGAACCCCCGGCCGCCATGAGCCTCCGCTATGCAGTACGAGTCTCCGCCATGCAGAAAGAGCAGCCACTATGCGGTAAACGAGTCTGGTAAACGAGCCTGGTTTAGGAGCTTAAGCAATACCTATTTTGAAATTTATATCAGATTAAGATAAATAAAACCGACATTGAAAAGTAATCTGAATCTAAAAACATTTCCAAAAAAGGTATTTCTTATTGCCTAAATCAAACATTGAAACAAAATAAGCAAAGTTCAATTCAGAGATGAATTTCCTATTAGCCTTATTTCTGCGTAAGAAATTTTTTATTATAAAAAATAGATCGTATCGTATCAACCACTTTATGAGTCTATATAAGTTACAGTTCAGAAAATTCAATAGATAACTCTAATATTTAGTAAAATTCTTGTGCCACTGTGTCAAAAATAATGAAAAATATTTTATTACAAGTAAAAACCAAGAGTTATAACTAATAAAGAAGCTGTGCTACATAGCGGAGGCTCGTGCTGCAAAGCAGTGCAAAGGCTTGTGCTGCATAGCAAATCTGGGAGGCTCCTGTTTGCATAGCGGAGGCTCATGGCGGCCTGAGGTTCCCTCCTTAGTCGGAGAGATGTATACTCAGACTCTGAATACAAAATATCAAATTCTGGAAATTATAATTATTCTTTCTTATAACAGAGGCTCTAACCAACAGAGAAATAACAAAATGTTAGACCTAATATTAAATGTTCAAAGATACAGATAGATTTCAAAACACTCAAGGAAATTACAACATAAACAGATCGCAATTATTTTGAACATCGTCATCAAGAATAAATATGATTCATCATGATTAAAACATGAATGTAAAACTGATGATATTTCAATAATCATTCTTTGTATTATTAGAACAAATTACAACCTACTGACGTGTGTAGCCCGAAAGGAGTATTCATATCCTTTCAATCAGAATTACGGAAAGTAAATTTGTAAAAAAGAACAGCAGGTGTTTAAGCAAAGTTTTGGATGGGTAAGGGATTGTTCATTAAATCAACTTAAGTAATCGGTATCAATACTTGTAAATTGTGTCAACAATTTCTATTTCTTGAAACCTTTTTAATACTTTGATAAAAACTTGGCGATTTTAGTTTTTTTCAAAATTATTAACAAAAAACTTATGTGTTTAAGGTAGCATTTTTTACTATTTCCAAAATTAATTATTAAAAAACAATCACTAGTCCATCGTCATTTTGTGATTTGTTTCTCAAGCTCTTGGTTCATAAAATCGGTTAAATCTTAAAAAAAATCTTATCAACTCTGATATTCATCAATTTCTGAGTTCAGTCCCATTAAAAAGGCAGAATTAAATATAAAACATCTTTACTAAAACTATTCAAATATCTAACCGCGACATCTAAGGTTAAAAAAATTTAAATTCAAGCATTAAAAAAACAAGCTAAAATAATAATAAAAATAAAAATAATAATAAAATAATAACAACGGATTCCTACCTTTAGCCCACACTCCTCCTCCACCTCCCTATATCATGACCTAACCCTGATCGGACAACAGAAATTAAGGCCCGGAGACAATTAACACATGTACACTAAACAGAGTATCCCAAAAGACATGAGAAATACAGTGACGACGATATATCGTCTCTGATCCACGTGGGATTTATCGTGATCAAAATAATAGCATTTTTTTTACTTTAATATTTCCCCCTAGCTTTCAATTTCTTACATTTGTAAAATCAAAATATCTACTTTTATATCCAATATTTTGGTCAATGTTTTTCAACGCGGAGACCTTATTTTAGAAAGCTCCAAAAACGTACAATCTATAAACGATACGCTGGACACTTCTAGGGAATGAAAAATCAAAGACGATCTTAATGTCTTGTTCAAATTATCATGTTTATAGGGACTACCTGTGGTATGTAAGACAAAAGATTAGCTGTTTTTTTGTTTGGTTTTTTACTTTCATCAGAGTCAAAAGAAGAATATACAAAGAGATGATGGAAAATAAAGAAGTGAATGTGTTCAGTCTATTTTATATATTCAGCAAAAATATCAATTTTAAGTGGTGTCAATTCTCAATGCATTTTTATCTGGATTCTGTACCTCATAAATCGGCTTTAGTAGACAGATCAATTAAGTGGCATAATTTACACTGTCAGTCACAGGTTTGTGTTCCTTAGAAAATCTTGCATACCTTTTATCTTAAAGGGAGTGACCGGCTATGTAAGGTAATTGAACTGAGTATGCAGTATTGTCGAAAACTTCTTTAGGATTCATTTGAGACATATTTCACTTTTTAAAGATCACATTTTAACGTTTGCAAAATTTAAATTGAGAAAGCCGGATTTATTGACAGAGAGCTAAAAAATAATAATAATAGTAATAATAATAATAATAATGTATAACAATCAAAATCTGAAGAAAACACACTTTAAGGAGTGTTGAAAGGGGGTAAAAGCTTACGGCGTAAAATAAGCGCTTTTGATCGCTACTAATCCTACTCCTATCTGTTGCGTCTATAAGGAGAAAATTGTTGAAAAAACGACTCATACCGAAGAACGTCCATACAAATTCGGAAAGTTGCAACATTCAACTCGGACCGTAAAATAATCAATTTAATTCCAAAAAAATCATTCAGATATTACAAACAATAGTCATCCATTATTTTTCGAGGCATTCGTATATATTTAATATTTCATAATATTTTTGCTTTTGTATTTTTAAATAATATTTCGCTGACGCTGGATTTTCGAACATTCCTGGAAAATATGAAAATGTCGTCGTCATTATCAAAATTCCTCAAAACAAGAATAAAAGTTTTCAAAAGTAACTCTCAGATCATGAAAAACAAAAAAAAATTATGAAATGTTAACTTTATACGAATGCGTCAAAAAAAATTATTGAAAACTATTGTTTGTAATATCTATAAATGATTTGTTTGGAATCAAATTGATTATTTTACAATCCGAGTGAATTTTGTAACTTTCTGAATTTGTATGGACGCTACGTTCTTCGGTATGATTAGTTTTAAACAATTTTTTCCTTATAGACGCAACAGATAGAAATAAGATTTGTAGCAATCAAAAGCGATTAATCTTCTTCGTAAGCCTATACCCTAATTTTTGGAGAACACTCCCTGTAAGGACTAATAATCATGTAATTATAATTATCGGGAGATCAAGGACTAAAAATATTTAGAGAAACATATCGGGTTAAATTCCTAGCTGCAGCGGCGGGTATGGTTTCTCCTTTTTCCACCTTACCTCCGAACCCGTTCCATTTATCCTGAACCAGAGTTTTCTCTCTAACCTTTAATACAGCCTAAGTCCCTACACCAGGGATGGTATTCTATGAATTTACTAGGTTGCCGAACTGCCTACCGCCGGTTCAAATTTGAATCACCGATTCAAATCCTTAATCTTTAACTTTGAATCGGCGCGGTGGTTCAAATTTGAACCGGTAATAGCTTTAGATCAACGACGTAGCTCAAATTCATTAAATTCGGCCCCAGTTTGTCACATTGCTGATTTCAAAATTATAAAGCATCAGTTTGTCAAAACTCAAAATCTTTGTGAACTCTGCATTTTTATTCTTAGCACAACTTGGCACAACTTGGTTGATTTGTAAGGAGGGAAGGGTATATTTTTTTATAATTAAAATGTAGCTGCCTTTGCCTGGTTACAAGAAACAAGGCAAAGGCCAAAAAAACATTGCATTTTAGAATCTTAAAATTTGGAATTTTTTTAAAACAAAATAATGTAATTATTACCCTTTCCTCGGGTTTTTCCCCCTAAATTTCCCTTTTTCCATTGTGGGGTGGGGGGTGGGTCAGTATCCTACTCTTTTGAGAAGCTCGGAGAGGGGGACCAACCTCACATTTTGTAGAGTCTATTCTTTTATTCACCAGTTTTTGCTTGTGTTGCAGAAAAAAACCCAATTTTATTTTTTATTTTTAAGAACACAACGATAATCAAGGCATTTTGTTAGATTAAAACTATTTGAACGAGGCAATTTCGGGAAATCAGGATTTTGTAGAGACGAGGCTGTTTTAAATTCCAATTTATAAACAAATTAAGAATGCAAATGGACAAAGTTTTCAGACTGAATGCTTTCTCCTAATCCGAGGATAAGCTGATACTTCAAATAAGGTGATGGTCTGGAGAAGGGGGGGGGGGGTAAGCTATATCTCTATGTAAACATAAAATCAAGATGATATTGGCAGGAAATGAAAAATGGAGCTGTCCGTTATAAAGAAAACGGACGCAGTCAGCTGTTTCCGAAAAACGAAAAGTCTGAAAAGGCAAATTAAAAAGTTCAAGACGTAATAATATAATAAAGGAATTGTTAAAAGTTTTTTTTACCGACTTCAGATTTTGAAGGAAAATAAATGATATTTTACTCAGTGGCGCAACTAGGTTTTCGCCCCCACCCCCCCCGCGTCACTTGGCTCCAACACGATCATGTTTGTGAACCATCTTTTATCTGCAAGTTTTGTCAATTAAGAAAAAAATCCAAAATTTTTCGTTGGCGCTTTGCGCATCATTTCTAATAGAATTTCTAACTATTTTCTCGTTTTCGATTTAAAGAAAGCCAGTCATTCTAAATTTATCCCCTCAAAAAAATCTGTATATATTTTAATTCTAATGAGAATTACAAAAAATTTCAAAGGGATTATAGTGGACTATTAGGACTTGTGCAGACTATAGGAGGAAAACAGGGATAAGCCCCTTACTGGCAAACTAGGACAGAGGGACTATCATGATTTGGACAGACGAAATATAGTCAAGTACTGTCAGGAACTACTTATGAGGACTGCACAAACCTACGAATAAGGGACTTATATAGTTCTTACAGTGGACATAAATGACCGGTGGATGAATAATAAAAAACTGCTGTAGACTGTAATAGGGGACTTTATATACAGTAAATATGACTAAGCCAGTGACTACAGGCACTAAGAAATACATGAGAAGACATTAAAGAACAGAATTTTTATGGTACTTCGCGCACATATTTAATTGATTTACTCATTTCGTTCATTTTAAATCTGTTGGATGTATATTTTTTTAAATACAAGAACAGTTATGGATATAATAAGAATTTGGTATGTTTTTGAGTACAAAGTCAACGCTTCAACAATTAAAAAATGCTATTTTTTACTTCAAATACTGAAAACAGCGATTTGTTTGAAAATTTTCTCGAAAGGGGGGGCCGTTACCCCCTGCCCGGCCCCTCAAAATTAAATTTCCCCCCTCCATCAAAAAAGTTCTAGATGCGCCACTGATTTTTCTCTACTTCAAAAAAATATTTTTATTATAACCGAGAGGGAAATTGCCGCAAAATTAATTTCCGTTGCAACTTGCAAGTTGAACACAATGCAACCGTATTTCAAATATACTCGTAAATATTAGATTTAGTTATTTAAAAAAAAAATAGATTTCGACACCGTTATTTTTTTCCGTTTAAAGGCATTGGTTAAATGCTTGAGCCATTGGGTTGATCATTGAATCCCTCGAGGGTTTTGATTTTAATTGATTCATGTTTTTTTCTGCGAGTGCATTATACGATTACCATTAAAAAATAAATGACAAAAATAAAGATCAGTCCGATTGAATCCAATGGCATTATAAGCACATTAGCTTGTTGGCTCTAATCTTCCTTTTACCCTGGGAAAAGTTGGGCGCTCAGACTAGGTAAAAAATCTAGCGAACTCTACAGCATTACGTAGACTACGAGGACCAGGAGAAAACTCTTCCCTTGCCAAAACCTCTTTTCTTCATCCCCAGTAGAACCTCTCCATCTTTCCGCAAAAAGACTAGCGTTAGAACCTTTTTTGAAGCCATCTGAAAAGTTTTAAAGTAAAATAGGATAAATTCACATGGAATGATTTGGTTCTAAATATAAAACGGGAAAGTAAAGGAACCCCGAGACAGCATGTGATGCCAATTCTTTAGAATTTTTTATTTAGAATAAAAATACCAAAATGCTGCCTAAAATTCAATGCTGAACTAAAACCAAATAAACAAAAACATTATGAGAAAAAAAATCTTAAAGGGCCTGAAAACTCCGGCGTGTACGAAATAATTACATTTTGACTTACAGTACGATAAACTCTGATATATTTTGTCAACGTTAAAACTAAATACATTGTTTACAAACATATTACAATATATCACACTGATCGGATGACAGGGGTGCAGTACGCTGAATGTTCCGAGATAAGGTAAGAGGTACATGTCAAAATATAAAAACATGATTCATTCAGATTCATCAAGACAAATATACATAGAATTTGGTTGCCGATGCTTTCCGAATAATTCCGGAAATTTCTTCTCCTATCCAAAAACTTTTAAGATGGATAAGAGCTTCAAAAACTGGAAACCATACATATTCATAATCAAGTGCAGTTAAACAGAGGGGAGATAAAAACTTTTGAATGTACGGAATGAGTTAATTATCTTTTGACGAGTTTAAGCCATTGGAACATCCTTAGTCGACTATTTTCTTCAATGAAAATTTGAAGATTCGACTAAGAGGACGAAATTAATTACATTTCGACCAAACGGAAGGTTGGAATATCATTAACATCTAATGAGTTAATCTTTTCAAAAAATGTTCTTTCATTCCATATTATTCAAAGCTTTGGGGGAACATCACATTAGAACTGGTTTTATCAATATAATTAATGAAATAATGCCACGGATAAGGTTGGACAAGATCTCCGAGTAGGTCATAAAACTGTTCTCCTCAAAGTTACCCTGAGACTGAACCTATTAGGACTCTACGGAGATTTCCAAACAATACATAATTAAATAATCATCAAAAACCCCATGAATAAAATTTTTAAGAAGTAACCATTACATTCATTCGATAAAGAAAGAAACTCCAATTAATAATCTAAAATAAATATTTATGAGGTAAAAACATGAAAAAAGGAACCCAAAGTATTGAACTAGGATTTGTTAGCAAGAATTCAATAACTCCTTCTACTGCCAGAGAGACGGAGAGAGACCGGTAGAGTAAGGTTGAAGAGATGGAGAAGACGACATGTTGGTTTGGAAACCCGGAGATAACCCTAGGTTCGGCTGAACCTGTACCGGAGCAGGTGGGAACCTACCCGGGGTTGTCTGCATACCCATCCCACTCAGCTGGTTGCTCATCTAGACAACCAATCAATCAATCAAATCGTCAGTTCGTTTATGTTAAATAACTTTGATCTCTTTTAAATTAATTTACTTTTAAGATTATACTAACGAACCTGATAAACATTCTGTGGCAAGGTAGTTATCATCTTAGTTTGACCGGCAGGTGCTGTTTGTGATCCCAGGTCCAGGAAAGGGTTGACCTGCGCACTCTGATTGTTATTGAACAGCTGTTGCTGGTTTCCGAACTGCTGTGGTGGAGCCCCACTCTGAAACCCTGATTGGACTGTGTTGGGGAAAAATGCGGGAAACTGAGCACCTTGACCTTGATTCTGTGACGCAAGTTGTCCAAAATTGTTGCCATACTGTCCTGGATTTTGTCCAAATTGTCCAGGATTCCCAAGTTGAACGGCAGCTGAGGGATTTCCTAAGAAAAATTTAGTCATGTAATGTTTCAAAATCATCTTGCTTTAATACCTATGCCATATAATAGGACATCTCATTCTTTGACCAAGTTTAATCTAAAAATCTTTAAAAAAAAGTAAAATTTGTATTTAAGAGTAAAATCGAATCTTATGATATTATTAATTTTTTTAATTTTATTCTAAAAAAGTTACAAATTTGGTCATAAAATCCCATCAAATAGCTCGCCAGTGATTTTTTTATATTTTAAAAGCAGAGATGTTAGCCTGGAGATCATGAATGCTACCTTGATTAATCAGGTTTTGTTGTTGAGGAAAGGAAGGTTTGTTGTTAGCACTGCTGTTGCTGAACAAGGCAAGGATTGAAGAGTTAGACATCTTAGATGCATCAACAACACTAGCACCAGTTTCTCCAGGGGTTGATATCTTCAAACAAGAATATATAATAATGAGTTTTGTTGAATCAATCCACCCAAAATTTTGCACACTAAATTTTGTTATCAGCTTAGCGTTAAAAATGTTTTTTTGATAAAAATAACGAAGAACCTATTATTTAAAAATAACTAATAAGATGAATTGACAGAATTTTTTTATTTAATCATTTGACATTATACCGTATACTAAAATGGAAAAGCAATTTGATGTTAATAAAAATCCAAACCACAAAAAAATAGACAGAAGACGTTAATTAAAATTTGTATTGATATTAAAACATTTTTTGTTTTTGTTTGACTCTCTCCAGATCTATCGAATAACCGTAAATAAAATGACATAAATATCTAAAAATGAAGTGTTGGTGTTCACCTGATTGAAGAAGTCCGCCTCTAAACCCTGAGAGCTAGGTTGACCAGCTGAAGAAGGATTAGGTTTAGATGTAACACTAGGTGTCGCGGACACAAATCCAGAGAATCCAAATAAATCATCCTCTACAATAACATGGAGAATTAAAATTAATAAAATAAATAATTAAACCAATAAATAGTTAATTCAATTAAAGCTTTCCCATAATTTCAAGGCAAAATTAACAATAAGATAAGAAGGTATGCAGGATGCAGTGTAGACCTGAGGTTAGACTTCATGACTAGTGAGAAGTAGTTGAACCAATCGAGTAGTAGTTTTACTATCATACTTAGATTAACGGCAACTGTTCATTAATTCCGACCTCAGAGTTGGGTACTTAAGAATTAGATACCATTTATCCCGATCGATAAAGATGGACACTTTTAATTTACTGTTAACCCACTCTTTTAAATAATTTTTTTAAAATCCCTACTAGATTCCGACCAATGAGAGTTCTCTCATAAAATGGCGCGTACAAGTTTGAAATTTTCGCGGATTATGATTGGCTTTTTCGGATTTTGCATACGCCACTCCATTGGTTGAATTTTACACACTTTTCAGGATAAAAACTCAAGACAAAATTAATCTTGAGATAAATAAAAAGAGAGAATCAAGCATTGACCTGAATATGCACATTTTATAGTTTATAGCGCAGAAACTGATATTTTTACCTAGATCTGCACTGGGAGCAGGATCTCCTAGGGAGAGTCCGAGAAGATCCGTGCTTAAACCATTCCCAGTAACTGGGGCAGCAGCAGAGGGTTTAGCAGCTGCTGTCGTAGGTTTTGAGGTCGGTATGGGGGCTGAGGGTGTTGACGGCTTTACAGCAATAGATTTCGAAACTACTGGACTACTAAATCAGGAATGAACTTTAAAATAGATTTTATTTTTTTCACCAGTGCGTAGGATCATTTTGGCTCTGCTGAAGCCAGATCTGCATTTAAAAAAATGAATCTTAAGCACTGGACTTATTTTGTTTGACTAACCTGATGTTGTTGTTGTTTATTCCATTAGTCACTGGCATCTTCTTTATATCCTTCTGTTTGCCCAACCTTTCCTGCTCTATCAATTGATCCCATCCTACAGGTAGATCTGGAGGCGCTGTAGATACCCACTCCTAATAATATTTTTACATTTATTATCAAGGCGTAATATTTTTATTATCTTTAGTAGTGAACATTATGAACATTAAAAACATAAATTGATGGGACGGTGACGTAATTTTATGCCCCCCCCCTTAAAGAGTTAAATGCAAGATTCGAAATTATATCTTTTGAACATTTGTCTGAGTCTCGATGAGATTGTTTCTGGCACAAATCAGCAAGTCATTTTGGCAAAGAAACCGCAATTGAAACTTTTAGATAGAAAGCAAGGATGAATCGAGAATTATAAGGTATCGTTGTAAATATCAGGCAACTAACTCTTTAAATGCACTTCAAATCTCGCTGACAGTCCCTTGATGTTACAGGAGAAAGCGTAAACACTTTTAGTATTCATAAATATATTTGAATATCGAGATATGTTCAGTTTTCCATCAAAAACTATAATTCAATGGTAAACAGGGAAATTGGCTAAACCCTGGCCAACCAAATCCCTTTTCCCTCATGGGGATGTATTATCATTATTGCGATAAATTTGTTGTCATATGTTCTATCTGATGTTAACTTCATGCAATAAATATTTGATTTGATTGTAACAAGAGCTATGTATAATCAACTATTAAATAGGAAAAATACACTAAATATCAACAATTTGTCATCGAACGCTTCATTCAAAAACTTACGTTAAAAGACAAAAGAAAACGAGGTTGAAAGTTAAACTAATGAACCACAAAGAAGGGATTCAGTCTTAAGTATAAGCCATCCCAAAACTTCAAAACAAACTCAAAAATCTAAATTTTAAAAATATGAAAACCCTAAGCAAACTCTCTTTTACAAACCTTAGCAATGAATTTCTTTTTCTCGTACTTGTTCCTGATGAAAGCCTCCATCCCAGCATCTGTAGTTGGGCGTCTATACATAAAAAAATAAAATTATCTAAACGTTTCTGAAAAAAAATCTAGGGGTGAATATTTCACACACAAAAATCCCCCCCCCCCAAAAAAAACGAATTAACAAAGACAAATCAACTTCTAACATAACATAAAAAAAATTGAATAAAGACTAATTTTGTGCAAGGCGGCTAATTTAGCATAGTTTGATTTTTTTTGAGTAAAATTTTTGTCTTTGGAAATCAATGCTTTTTTTGCCTTTTAAGCTTAAAAGAATACAAATCAAAGTTTCATCCCCACTAAAACAAAAATGAAAATTGCAAATGCAAATTGCCTGGACTCTGAAAAATCTTCGATTAAAAACCTGGACATTAAAAATTATTTAGTTTGCCTGTAGTCGTCAGGTACATTAGCTTCATAAACTGCTCTACCTCTACTGTTCCCCATCATCTGCATACTCTTAAAATATAAATAATAATCAGAAAATAGTTCAGCACAGAACTGAACTCGTTCAGTAAAGTATTTACAGCAATTGCTTAGGATCGAAGACACTTCCCCAAAAGTCGAAAATATTTTGGCAGCCTGTGGTGTTGTGTTGTGAATCTTGTGACCAGGAATTGATCTTCATGTTATGCAGATCTACGTATTAATTGAATTCCTCTGCAGATATAACTTCAATTAAGAAATCAACCATTTGTCTTCAGATTTTAAAGTGCCCACAAGGGATGTCGAGAGTGTTTAAGATCAACAATATCCACACAAAAGTTCCGATATTTGGATCTGCAACATTATGCAATGAGTCTTCTTGTTTCAAAACACAAATTTCCAGAGTTAACAGAAGAGAGATCATGGTTAATCTTCCCTGGCATCTAATCCAACAAACCAATTCTTAGCATAAAAATAATGGAAATATCAGTAATTTTTCAATTTTTTCCTTCGAATATCCGAATTTGTACAGTAAGGATCTATGATCAACATAAAATTGAAATGAAATGGTTCAAATCAAAAATTCGTAAGGGTAATTAAAGGGGTACATGGTTTTGAAAAAAAACCATTTTCCTCTGTTCACCTTCTGATAATATTGTCCCTCCCAGATGTTTTTTTCTCTGAATTTGGAGAAATAAATGAGTTTAAGGGAAACTAATGCATTTTTGGGGAATATCAAAGAAGGGTGAAAAACATAACATTTTATGTCCAATTTAAAATGTCTCCATAAGCATAACAAATCAAAGGGGGGGGGGGGGTTAATTTTTGACAGTTTATGTCCCTGTATTGTCTTTTTTATTTTATTGAAAACAGTAATCACGAGAAAACAAACATTTGCACAACAGAAGATTGTTGAGTTAAAAAATAAATTGGACTTACCGAAACCTGTTGCGGAGTCCAGGAATCAAGGTTTACAGACCTAACTTTAGAGATGTGAACTCCTAAACATAAGATAGAATAAGATAGGATCTGAACCCCCCCCGTCTTAGAGAGAGTCCAGACCGCCATCGGGGCTAACTCCCATATCAGTCAAAAAAACATTAAACGTTAAAATAAAAAATAAAAAAGTTTTAAACTTTCTGTCGGTATTTGAGTATTTAAGTCGGTTGAAGTTTCGTTGAATATATTCAAAATCTGTATTACCTAGATTTCGATGTATCCCGGCACACCGAATGCAGAGAAAGACCCCTAGGTTCCAAGCAGCCCATCTAGGCCCCTAAAAATAAATCTTTAAAGTTTTGACAAAATTAGCTCAAGAAATAGTTTAACATAAAGTAAGAAAATTTATGAAATCATGATTTTATTAAAATGATTTGTAAAAGTGTAAAAATATTCTAACTTAATTTTTATATAGATATTTTGTCAAGAATCATGATCTATAGGGTTACCCACAAAGAGTGAAACTTTAATGACCTTAAACTCAATAAAAACGATCTCGTGAAACTTTAATGACAACCCTAAACTCGATAAAAAAAACGATCTCAAGTGTAGTTGGCAGGTATATTTAAAAGTTATTTTGAAAGTTATATTAATCAAGTGCATCACAATCTACACAATACTTGTTATCGTCCTCTTTAATATACATTAGCATCACAATCTACACAATACTTGTTATCGTCCTCTTTAATATACATTAGCATCACAATCTACACAATACTTGTTATCGTCCTCTTTAATATAC